GGTTTTGTAACATGTTTTCAAGGGATTGACAACTTGTTTCTAAAAACCAATAAAATTCTATGCTGAATTTTACAAAACATAGAGTAATATTTACAACTTTTGTAGTGAAAATTATCACTTCTTAAATGAATTTTGCAACTTCTTTTCAGGGGATGAGCAACTTGTTTCTAAAAATCAATAAAATTTCACGCTGAATTTGACAAAACACATAGTGAGATTTACAACTTTCATTATGAAAATGATCACTTCTTCAATGGGTTTTGCAACATGTTTTCAAGGGATTGGCAACTTGTTTATAAAAACCAATAAAATTATATGTTGAATTTTACAAAACATGTAGTGAGATTTACAACTTTCTTAGTGAAAATAATCACTTCTTAAATGGGTTTTGCAACCTCTTTTTAGGGGATGAGCAACTTGTTTCTGAAAATCAATAAAATTTCACATTGAATTTTACAAAACACACAGTGAGATTTACAACTTTTATAGTGAAAATGACTACTTCTTAAATGGCTTTTGTAACTTGTTTTCAGGAGATAGGTAACTTGTTTCTAAAAACCAATAAAATTTCATGTTGAATTTTATAAAACATATGCTGGGATTTACAACTTTTGTGATAAAAGTGACCGCTTTGTTAATAGATTTTGCAATATATTTTCGGGGGATGAGTAACTTACTTTTCACCACCAATAAAATTTCACGCTGAATTTTACAAAACACATAATGGGATTTACAACTTTTATAGTGAAAGTGACCACTTCTTCAATGGGTTTTGTAAACCTGTTTTCACCGGAAGAGCAACTTGTAAGCATAAATAAATCATTCAGTGAACGTGCACCTGAAGTACATCACAATAAATATTGAACTATTAAGTTTCATAATTAATTACATGTATATTAAAATTTACCATTCATGGAATGGGATTTACCATTCACGGAATGGGATTTACCAAAAACCAGCAAACATATGACAGCAATTACATTACGTAATTGCTTGCGACTATTTTCTGATTTCTACTTCATCATTCACCAAATACTGAATATGAACCCTCAAATACAATAATCTTGTTCCTATTTCACCATGAAACAGCCACAAAAATGAATAATCCAAATCCCGCCATCAACTTCTACTCACTCATGAATAATTCAAATACTTCAGCGACCTCTTCGACGACGACAATTTCAGGGGTACAAGTTATTTCAGACAGGGCAATGTATTTTAGCGATGGTAACCAAATTCAGCGATGGCAATCTACTCCTACGACGACGGCAACGTGATTTCTAAAAATCCTTTTTGGTGACTGCAGGAACTTGGATTTAGTTTCGTAGAAGGAAATCAGTTTCTCCCTTTCTCTATCGCATGAATACACTGCTCAATGTTCAGAGACAATCAGGGCAATTCGGTCTTTTGGCCGAAAATCTATATTCCAAATTGGTACCCAGTGCCCTATTTGTCATTTTGCTTATTCAGGTCCCTTATTTGTCTTTTTGGAATTCAGGTGGTATTTTATTGTCATTTTCCCATTATTCTAATTATATATTTTTTTTATTTGTTTTCTACCCTGCCTTTGTTTCGCCATCATCTTTAAATTTTATTTTTTTACGTTTGAGATATATAAACCACCCAATCATTTCAGGTCAAGCACAAAAGTGAAAAAAGAAAAATTAAAAAAGAATGAAGAAAGAGTAAATAGAGTGGCCCACCACTTTTAGTTAATCAGGTTGGTTGGGAGGTTGGATCTGCTGTGATGATTAGCATCCCACTGTAGGAGGCGCATTCAAGGGGCCATGGCCCTCTTTTTTAATTTTAAGAGGTACGTATAATCAATTAATCATTACATCACATTAAATATATTGATGATGAAAATTAGAGTTTTTTCTTGAAATTTGATCTCATTTTGACTTCAGCACATAAAATTTATGTATGAAAATTGAAATAAGGTTTTGGGACTAAAAAGCACTGTTCTAAGAATAAAATTCTTTTAGGCAAATCAGAATAAAATCAATTTTCTTAGACTCATACTACTGATTTTAAATTTCAGTGACTAAAATCAAAATAAGATCAAATTTTAAGAATTAGAAATGATATTAACCCTAAAAATTATAATTGAGGGATTAAAAAATTAATTTTGAGGAAAAAAAACTCATATTTAATTTATTTTATTCAAGGTATGTATTTTTTATAATTAGTATTTTATCCTCACAATTATAACTACTTGTTTTCATTATATCAAGAAGTTGAGTCATCCTCACACAAATCTTCTTGTCAATAACATGAATTGATTCATCAGCTAAGACAGAACAAGTCTTGGGGCAATGAAAATAAGTGAGACACAAGTCAAAATGAGAGAAATCAAATGTCACACGGAACTCTAAAATATTTGACAGAATCAAAAAGTTGAAACACATCTACACCAATGACTTTAATTGGAAAACGACATGCTGGTTTTATACCATTGGCAGGGTGAAGGCCCCCAAAGCATTAATAGTATCAAGACAAACACTTCAATATCTGTATTTTGTGTTTACTTCACTGATTTTGCTTCTACTAGGAATTTCACATATGTACTCTTCTGGTCCTATCTATAAGGTAAAGAAAGAAGATTTTTTTATCCTATTTATAAGTCACTTTATTAAATTTTCAGTGTAAATGTATTATTTTGTCCTTTATTTATTATAGTGAAGGTAGTTATCTTTTTTAAAAGGTATATATATTAAATATAGGTAAAGTTGAAAAATTGTTATATTTTAATGGAGAGTTAATGCATTTCAAGGTTTTTCTTGGTTTGTATGAAATATACTGAAAGTATCTTATAAATAGGATCAAAGGAGTATATAATAGAGCAAGCTGAGAGAATTTGCAATTTCATTTGTATGCCCTATATATATATACATGTATGGACGGTATACACACACACACACACACAGGAATCTATAATGGGCAACACTTGCACTGAAAATGAAGTTTGAATAAAGTCATATTCACGTACAGCTTGAAACCGCATTGAAAGGAGAATAAGGTAGGACCACGAGGCAATGCAAGTAGTATTTTCAAGCAAATTAACGAATTATGAGATTTAACAAAAGTAGGATAAAATTAAAGCCGTACCCACTGCTCATAATCTGACCATATATATGGTCATATTATATGGGTGGGATTTGATATGGCTGCTACCTACGTTATCCTCAATCAACCTGAAATCCACCAAGCACATGCCAAGTTGATATTCATCCTTTTGTTCAGAGAACAAGCTATTATACCTTTTTATTTCACACTTGGCTTGGCTTAGGTCACATCAAACTTTATTATTATTATTTTTATTTCTACAGTTAGTTAAGTCCACTTCAATTTCGATTTTCATTACCTTTTTCTGATCTTCTCTGTTCTTGGATCATAATATTATCAGTATGTGCACCCTGCCTCAGACTTGGGACCATTATTCCTTTCTCTTGTTTCTATCTTAAGCATTTCCTAATCTGTTGAGTACTTTTTTAGTTGGTGTTATAAAGTCTCAAGTTATTTTGAAGTGAAACATGTGGGGGGTCGATTAAAGTAACCACACATAATCATGCATATTCGATTTCACTTGCAGACAAACCCCAACAACAAATGTATATAATGGAGACTGTTTTCTAGCTTTTTGGTAGAAAATTAAAGCAGAATAAGGGGTGGGCCCAAAGCGTGAGGAAAATGAAGAAGAAGAAGAAGAAGAAGATGCTGCTTCAGTAGGTGGAAATGAAAACACAGAGAAGCACATGCCATTTCTGCTGAAGAAATGAAATGGTAGTTGAGTTACAGAATGGCTTAACTGTCACTACCAACCATCTGCATCTGCTTGAAGATGGTGACAGTGACGATGAAAATGATATATACTGACATAAAATAATGCCCTTTTACGGCTTTACTTCAAGTTTTATTAGTCTATCAGTCTGTGATCCACACACAGCGCCATACCCACATTTTCACCAACAATCAAAGCTCAACAAACCATCTTAATTGTGAGAGTGCGCGCGCGAGCGTGAGTGAGTGAGAAGATAATCGTTTCGTTAAACTTGACCTCAATTCCCCCCCCCCCCAATTTTTGGGCCAGATTTGAGCAATGGATGACGGTATAGAAGAAGGGTAATTTGCATAACAGGGGAAGACGGTAAAATTTGAAATCTAATATTTCGACTTTGAAAGCTCAGGAGTTATGAGGAGATTAGGTACTCAAATGATTGACTCAGACTTGATCATGAGTCAAACCACCAACTTGAGTTGTAGTCAATTCTTAAAATTTGAGCTTGAAATCTAGTACTCATTAAGATAAAAGAGGAGGAGGATTTCATTTACTTTTGAGGGTGGGAATCTTGAGATTCAAGAATATCTGTTTGAAATGTTGAGGCGGTTGTTGCAGCATTCCAGCAACACAACCACCAGCACATGCCATGGATTTAGAAGGATTAGCACATTGCCAACTCAGACCAGCATGTTCTTTTTCCAGGGGCCTCATGACCCCAATACATGACTTCTTCACCAGGATCGAATTGTGTCTGCTTCAGTGGGGACATTAGACTTGTTCATTTATGTGCACCTTTTCAGATTATTTACTTCTCAACATTGACTTGATTCACAATGAAGGATAATGCAAATCAGTGACTCCCTCTGTAGATGAAGTATCAATGACAATACCAGAGTGTAGCCTTTCAATAGCAGTGGGTTATTATGTTGTGTTATTCACATTTGAACTGACTCTTCAAAGTCCAACTTTAATCTTCATATTAACATAGTTTTTAACAAGGTTAAAACACAGTTGCAATGACATAGAGGACACTACAAAACTAAGCAACGAGAGAGGAAACAATATATGATGAGACCTTCTAATGTTGAAAATACATCGCAATCAAATACTCGAACGAAAATTATATCTTGGCCCAGGTTTGAACATTGAGGATGGGGGAAAAAATCCTGTTAGCAAAATTTTCCCCAATTAGACTTGGCAAAGCTCACATCTAAACCGATAGTATGAATATGAGATGATTATACCCCCAAAAAAATTATGACAAAAGAATATTAAAATCAAAATTCAATGGATGGCGTTACAGACAACAAAGCCGACGGCGATTATGTCGATCTCCTCTTTCTGTTTCTTTTTCTTGCGACTAAGCCTTGATCTCTAACTAAACAATAAAAATTCCAGTGTGGATTTGATTCTGTTATGGGTGGTTGACCAAATGGATGAGAAGCCACGTACTCCTGAACATTCTCAGCCATAGCCAATCCTTCAAGATAAACACGAAGATCACCTCCAGGTCCTGCAATAACAGAAATGGAATAGGTGAAAATATGTTTGAACTTCGAAAATCCAGAGGAAACGAGAATGGAAGGAATCCCAAAAAAATAACGGAAAGAGAGAGAAGGAAAGAAAATTGGTTAATATTTTTCTTCATCATGTCCAAGGAAAACTTGCTGTTCCAAGTACTTTCAAACTGGAGAAACTTGAAAATATAAAAGAGAAGACTCGGCAAGAATGCGAAGGGTTAGTTTAACGTGTCCTCAAAAAGCAATTAACAGAAAAGATCATCCAAGTTATCAGGAATTGCAGGTCACAATGGTTGGCCGGGAACAAGACAGATGATTCCGAGATGATAATCAGTGAGACAACATAAATAATCTTAGCCACATATCAATGATGTTTAAAGCAATTATTATTTAGAAAAGAACTTTTATACGGCAATAACAATCCCTCAACATGAGCTAATAATTTGAACAGGGAGAGGATTAAAGAGGTCTGTCTCACCTAATGATGTGTCATTGTTGTCGCTGAACCGGTAAGAATAAGGAAATATTGCTGTGTGCATCTGAATATAATTTGCATAAGTAGGAAGAAACACATTTGCAGAAGAAACAATATGATTCAAAAAATTGAAGTCTTATTTTACGGAAGGAAATCCAAGAGCAGCTTACTGGATTCCGGATCGCTTTGTAAGGGGAGTCATCCAACAACAAAGTATTTTTCTCGTTGAACTCTCCCTTCTTCCATGGAAGATCGGACCTGCCCTTTTCCCACAACTTCCTCAGTTCCTTCAACATAAGGGGCTTGTTCTTGTCCTCGATGGTCCGAAATTTTGTCACAGTACATTGACGTTGATCCTACAAAAACCAATCATAACATGACTCAGCAGGCTTAAAATCCATCTAGAAGTGAATAATTCCCACCGATAACCAAATTTAATCAGGTGGATCTCATCTAAGCACACAAAAGGAGTTGCATCTCAACAAGATTTATTTGACCATACAATCGTTAATTTTTAAAATGTTCAACAAATACCTATTTAGCCCAAATTGAAATTGCTGCAGCTTGAATGAATATAGAGTTACAACCACAATTACCAGCTTGCTTCTATTTTGTAGTAATAGAAGGAACATTTAACTAAATGGCAACTGCTCCACAAAATAATATACAAACAACTCAGCTTGGCTGCACAAGTATAATACGTTATAGTAGCAAAGATCTGAGAAAAATTAGATACGTAAAAATCAATCAGAACAGCATCCAGACATTCACATATAAATGCAAACAAACAAATAAGAGAAATGCACAATAGAGCCGACTGCAAATCAAGAGTCTTGTTCTGCCTTTTCCTTTTGGGTCAAGGTCTGAAGCAATAGTTGATGTGTTTTATATTCTTCTAATATGTTCTAGTTTATAGTTGAGCTATTCAATCTATTTAATAGTATAGTACTTTTTTCCCATAAAAATAAAAGGAAAAAAAGTCATCAAACTGCAAAAGTAAAAATGCACACTAACAAGTTCAGTTGAAAATATTTGACAAAGGAGGATCAGGAGGAAGTATATACGTTCATGAGGAAAATTTGCCATCATTCGCAGCATCAGAGACAAACAAAAATCTTAGTAAGAAAGTAAACAACTCTCTGGATCAACAAAACACCATTAAAGTAAAAAAAGTAAAATACGCATCAATTACAAATACGTGATTGAGATGCGTCCTGGGAATATATTGAGTAAACTTCTCTACAATTTGATTAACTGATCAATCTGACCATAAATCTGCTGCTCGAAAATAGAGAATATTTTACCCAGGCAAAAAGCAGTTTGGATGCTGAAACCCCCACAAGAATTTTGATTGCAGCATCAACGTTCTGCCTGCAAGCAATTATATGCAAGTGTCAAGGCAAAGCATGCACCAACTAGTAAAGTGAAAAATACTGCTGAAATTCTAACCATAAGTGCAAAACTGCCAGGTGAAAGTTAACCAGAGAAAAGAGAAGAGATGGAACAGATATGAAAGCACTGAAATCAACAACCACTTGCAAGTACAATGCTCACTTCTGTTTATAAACTGTGAGCGGAATGGCAAATCACATGGATACTCCCTAACTACTTGAAACCACTAAACATTTCGTTGTTTACAAACTCATCTGCTTCCAAATAATACAAGTCACTGACTCGCATGTACCATTGCCTCTTAAAATTACATAGAATAAACAATTAAAATTAAAGTAATAAGACAAATTCATTCATGGATTGATAGATACCGTTTTCTTGATGACCAAATACCGACATGAAATTTGTCAAAACAGAACTGCAAAAAATCATCACAAAAAGGCCTCTTGAAAACTGCAGAAAGCAAGCAACAAAACAGTCAATCAAAGGAAGACGTAGATAGACATGAAGGCCAAAAATGTGAGGAGACTAGATATTTGATGATTATGACCTGATTTGTTATGTATCTTTTTGTCAGGTTTGTAACCCTCAGGAACACCAAGGACAAAGTCAGCAAGCAGCCCATTAAGATCAAGTACAAGAAGCTTCTTTTTTGGGTAGCTTGATATGGCTCTACCCAGTGAAGAATGCGATACCTTAGAATGACCATGCTTACTGACTACTGTTGAATGAGAAATGTCACCTGCAGAAGACATACACAACTTGTAACCCAAAAACAATCCAACTTTCCACCGTTTTTAGTCATCAAATTAAACTTCAGGAAAAATCATTGCTCATACCTATTTTCTGTTAACATTATTTTCCTCTAACGAAGCTCAAGGATTAAAGGGAACTTGATAATCTGAAACTTTTGTTTTCAACAATTCCTGAGTCAACTGTCAACTATTCACCACAAAATCGATGTGAATTATCCCTATTACCATCCTCCATTATTGGTTCCAGGTTATAGTGAACAGGGCTTGAGTAAGCACTACACTACCAAGATAGGTATTGACTCTAGCTCCTTTGCACAGGGCTCCAAAATTTCTATGACTCTAAAGTACTGGATGAATATGTTTCTTCATTAGTTTGATCTTTTTAACAGAACAATCTACAATATTAGAGTGAAACTGCTATACTTTATAGCCCGCACTGTACTCGATTTTCCTAACCTTCTCAAAATGCCTGGAATTTGCCACAACTGGCCATGGTTGCTAAATTTTCATCTCAAGGTTATGCTACCCATTACTGGTTAATGCTATCCTCGTCAAGCATTCATTGTTCATTTCCTCTATTTACTTCCAGAGATTGTCTCGTTACCACCTCCATGGACAAGAAACAAAAAGGTCAAGGTGAAAGCATAAACAAAGCAGAAGTTTGAGTTGAAATGGTACCTTTTGAAACACCAGAAAGATTGACATTGCTTTGTAAAGAATCATGTCTCGTCTTCCTCCTTTTTCCCATCCTTTTATTTTTCTTTCTTGGGTTCACTTCCGCATTTGGCATAGCCAGAGATCCATCTGTAGCCTTTTCAACCATATTTTGATCCTTTCCTTGGTTTTCTTCCTGACATTGACTCATTACTAGATCCGGAGCAAATGTATCTTTTGGAACTTCAAAATGATTGATAACACATCCAATATCATTACATCCAGTCTTTCTCCTCTTCCTCTTTTTATTTTTCTTTCTTAAACTTACTTTTTCATTGGCCACAGTTGTAGGTCCATCTGTGGCCTTTCCAATTATATTCTGTACCTCTTCATTGGCTTCCCGAGACAGTCTCATTACAGGACTCATTGGGTATTGAACTGAATGTAGAGGTGGCAGATCCATAGCAGCCGCAGAAGTGTTAACTGATAAGGTGTCTTTTGGAACAGCAGCTTTATTAACATTGCTTTCACTGGCATCATATCCTTTCCCTCGTCTCTTCTCCCGTTTCTTTTGTTTCTTGAGCCCACTGCTACACTTGTCGCGATCTGAGATTTATCTGATGCATTTTCAAGCACATTCTTCTCATTAGATGCATTTTCAACCTGAGATTGCCTCACCAGAATCCAGAGAGTGTTCATCTAGATGTGTTGGAGGCCCAGCCAAAGCAGCAGAGAGGTTTCAATTGAAAAGGCATCTTTTGGTACAGCAGAAAGATTACCATTCCTTTTAGTAGCATCATGTCCTTTCTCTTTCCTCTTCTTTCTTCCTTCTCTCTTTTTCAATCTTACTTCTGTGCCTAACATGATCTGAGATTTATCTGAGGAATTTTCAAGCACATTCTTGTCTTTTGATACATTTTCAACCTGAGCTCTCCTCATTGCAGAATCCAGAGAGTGTTCATCAGAATGTGTTGGAGGCAAAGCCAAAGCAGCTTTAGATGTTTCAGTTGATAAGGCATTGTCCAGTGCAGCAGAAAGATTATCATTGCTTTAGTAGCATCATGTCCTTTCTCTTGCCTCTTCCCTTTTCTTCTCTTTTTCAAGCTTACTTCTTTGCCAGACATGATCTGAGATTTATCCAAGTAATTTTCAAGCACATTCTGGTCTTTTGATGCATTTTCAACCTGAGCTTTCCTGGTTACAGAATCCAGAGAGTGTTCATCAGAATGTGTTGGCGGCACAGCCAGCGCAGCTTTAGATGTTTCAGTTGATAAGGCATCTTTCAGTACAGCAGAAAGATTATCATTGCTTTTAGTAGCATCATGTCCTTTCTCTTGCCTCTTCCTTTTTCTTCTTTTTTTCAAGCTTACTTCTTTGCCAGACATGATCTGAGACTTATCCAAGTAATTTTCAAGCACATTCTGGTCTTTTGATGCATTTTCAACCTGAGATTTCTCGTTACAGAATGCAGAGAGTGTTCATCAGAATGTGTTGGAGGCACAGCCAGTGCAGCTTTAGATGTTTCAGTTGATAAGGCGTCTTTCAGTACAGCAGAAAGATTATCGTTGCTTTTAGTAGCATCATTTCCTTTCTCTTGCCTCTTCCTTTTTCTTCTTTTTTTCAAGCTTACTTCTTTGCCAGACATGATCTGAGACTTATCCAAGTAATTTTCAAGCACATTCTGGTCTTTTGATGCATTTTCAACATGAGCTTTCCTTGTTACAGAATCCAGAGAGTGTTCATCAGAATGTGTTGGAGGCACAGCCAGCGCAGCTTTAGATGTTTCAGTTGATAAGGCATCTTTCAGTACAGTAGAAAGATTATCATTGCTTTTAGTAGCATCATTCCTTTCTCTTGCCTCTTCCTTTTTTCTTCTTTTTTTCAAGCTTCTTCTTTGCCAGACATGATCTGAGATTTATCCAAGGAATTTTCAAGCACATTCTTCTCTTTTGATGCATTTTCAACCTGAGCTTGCCTCATCACAGAATCCAAAGAGTGCTCATCTAGATGTGTTGGAGGCGCAGCCGCTGTAGAGGTTTCAGTTGAAAACGCATCTTTTACTACAGCAGAAAGATGATCATTGCTTTCAATAGCATCATGTCCTTTCTCACGCCTCTTCTTTCTTCTTCTTTCCTTTCTCAAGCTTACTTCTACACTTGTCATGATCTGAGATTTATCTAAGGCATTTTCATGCTCACTCTTCTCTATTGATACATTTTCAACCTGAGATTGCCTCATTACAGAATCCAGAGAGTGCTCATCTGGATGTATTGCCAAATTAGGTGTAGAGCTTTGAGTTGAAAAGGCACCTTTTGGTAGAGCAGAAAGATTATCATTGCTTACTACTGAACTTGTCATGTCAGAGACCCAAATCTAACATTTTCAAGCCAATTTTTCTTCCTTCTTTTGTTTTTTTTCCTTGACTGCACTTTGATCACTGGATCTATGTAAAACCATTGAACAGGATGCGTTTAGGTTAATTTAAAGCAGGTTTAGAAATTTCATTTAAAAAGGTATCTATTAAAACGCTAAAAAGATCAATATAGCTTTCAGCAACATTATTCTTTGACACATACCTTTTCTTCCATTTAATTTTTACTGTCAAGTTTGTCTCTGTACACACTACACAGTCATAGCCATATTTTCACACAACATATTACAGAAGCAACAACCTCCATAAAGATTTATACAGTAAAAATTCAAAAAATTCAAAGTTTTTCAGCTAAATGAAATCAGGATCTTTATCATTATATTTAATGTAATTACTTCATACACTCATGAGCGAACTTCTTTGGTTTTCAGCAATTCAACTAAAGCAGTTATCACAAGACAAACTTATACACAATCTTTTTACTGTATGATTTATTCAAGATCTCCTCCCCCAAAAGCTGCATAAGTTACCCTATGAACCATCTTATTCACACTCCAACCATTAATTTTTCAAGAAGCATAACTTTCCTTTTCTTTTACCTTACTGATCTATGTATCCATCTAAAGGATCCAAATGGCTATTTACTAAATCCTCAAAGTAGTAGAATTCATCATTTGACCACATGGTTCTCACCTGATCTTTGTTTTGTAGGTCAATAGTTTAGCACAATAT